GATCAGTGACATTATTTGAATTGAAAAATAGTGGAAAAGAATGAATGAACACATAGTAACTTATGAATTGATTATGAATTTACAACAATTATTTTAGACTAAGGCTTCATTTGAGATGACTGTTTACTGCTTTTTAAAATAACATTTTAATAAAAAAATTAAAATTTTTGTATTTGAAAGCTGCTTTAAAAAGCAATAAGAAAGCCATTTTTTTATTGCTTTCTAAAATAATTTTTTAGTTAATAAATTTTTTAGTTAAAAAAATTTATAATAAAAAATTGCTTAAAAATAATAAGAAAATTATCCAAACGATGCATAATTTACATATAAATTTTTTATTTCCTCAATTAAATTCCTACATTCATACACTTAAATTCCTAGCATCCATCCACGTGTAGCTATATATTTTCATTGATATAGGTTTCATTTGGGATGTCTTTCTTAATACTTCTTAAAGTAATTTTTTATACTAAAAAAATACTTTAAAAAACAGTAAGAAAGCCGTCCCAAACGAAACCATAATTTTCTCTTTCTTATTCTTGCATATACTAACAGCTAGCAGGCTACTGCCAATAGTCATTTCTTTAAAAAAATAGCGTTAGAGAAAGCTCAATCAAATTTAAATGAATTCATGCTCACAGCTTATCCAAACATCTCAAATTCCCAGCCACAAATGATCCATAATTTGAATCAATGAAAAGAAAATTGAAATAAATCCAAAATACATAATTGTTGAAAAACTTTAATTTTGAAACAGTTTACTAAGCAACATAAATATTTTGCTGAAAGGATAAGACAAGAAAATTAAAAAAAGAAGCAAATATTCTTTTATGTAGAATATTTGAAAAAACTAGAAGCGCCAGAAAGAAACAGACGATAATTTTCTTGTTGCTTTGCATTTCAAACAGCAACCAAAATATCATTAGCTATTTCTTTTTGCTATTTTCTCATTGAATTTAAAAAATTTTTGTGATAGAAAGCTAATTTTATAATAAAAAAATTTCACTACAGACTTCAAATCTTCTTATTTAAAGAGCACAGTCAACATTTGAGTTTCCAAATGTATTTTTTATTTATTTATTTCTTCTATCCAATATCCAATTAGAATGAATATATAATATTAAGTTTTCCAATATTGCCAAGAACTTGAACAACTATGAAGACAATGCAGCAGCTCAAAGCAAATAGAAGCAAGGTGGAAACAAATGAAGATTAATTGTCATAAGGCTATAAAGTGTGGGATGCACTGTTTTTAAAGATTTATGAAGGATACCGATTGCACAAATCACTCAAAGTTCGATTCCATTTGTCACAAAATGGCTGTGCTAAAAACTATTTTTAAAAGGGTCATATAACTTATTTTATTATTTAATTTTACTATCAAATTAATTAATTTTTAAAAAATAAATGTTAAAAATTTTGATATTAGAAGTAAAACTGTAACTCAATGTATGAATAACAGCATAATTAATGTAGTGACATCATTAAAGAAGTTATTTTCTTAGATTTCATTTGTGATGACTTTTTTATTGCTTTTTAAAGTAATTTTTTAGTACAAAAATTGAAAGCTGCTTCAAGAAACAATAAGAAAGCCGTCCCAAACAAAGGCTTAAGCTTCGTTTGGGACAGCTTTCTTACTGCTTCATGAAGTAGCTTTTTAATACAAAAATTAAAATTTTTGTACTAAAAAAATGTTTTAAGAAGTAATAAGAAAGCCATCCCAAACGAAACTTTAATTTCCTTTGTGTTTCACGTTTGCAATCAACAAAAAAATGTAGAACTAGTTCATCTCTGCCTGCTAATGAATCAGAGAAATGATGGAAAATAGTGTAACATGAACAAGAGTAAAACTAAACGATTATAGAAATAAAGGAGAGGGAAGTGGCATATGGAAACAGAAATATACGAAGAAAAAAACGAGAAGAAGAATAAGAGAATAGTGCAATTGATATTTCATTCCATAATCCAACTCAAGCACCAATTTGATATCAGAATCTTTTATATAGATTAGGGCACATACTTCTTGTATAAATTGCTTGGTTATTAAAGAAAGGCAAATGATCATATTTTCCTTGCATCATTCACCCAAGTCAAAAAAAACTCCTCCAAGAGAGTATTTTGTACGGAGACAGAATGCAGAATGTTGTCCGAAGACTAATCAAAATGCGCCACATCAGCAGTACCGAGCCGCGGTACCGAGCACAAGGGTGACGTGTCATATTCTAGTTAGTCTTTGAACGAAGTTAAGCGTCCGCCCAAAATAATTAATCTCACCTCTCCAAAGAGTAGGAAGGTGACCATTATGGTGGAAGATATAGAACTGTCTCATGTATAACATCTCCATCAACAAGAGAAGATGCCGACAACTCAATGCAAACATCTAAAGATTTTTGTAGCGACCATGGCAAAACATCCAATTTGATAATAGTGAAAACAGTCAACTTAAACCATGCTGAAATTTATAGTAAAGTCATATACCACAAATTTAATGATTGGTTGAGCAGGAAAAGAATTGAGAACATCAAGATAAACGTGAGCAAATAGGAACAATGGAATGCCTGATCAGATAGAATTCTGAACTACTAGTCAGAAAAATGTGAGTAAATAGGAACAATGGAATGTCTAATCTTTATAGAGTAACAGTAAATAAAGATTAAAATTCTGAACTATTTGTCAGATAAAATTCAAGATATAATATGGACATATGAATGAGTCTTTAAAGCAACCTCCTAAATAGTTCAAGGATTTTTGAGAGATTTACATACATACCACTTTATTTCATGTTATTTACACATCTAACACCCAAAACATTAATATTACATGCCTACCACCCATATAACTAATTTGGGTGCATGAAATGAAATATTAAAATTTATAGGATGGTATGAATGATAGAAATATAGGAGTAATATATTTAATATTAAAGTTGTATATGGGTGGTAGACATGCAATATTAATGTTTTGGGTGTTAGATATGCAAATAGCATGAAATAAAGTGGTATGTATGTAAATTTCCCTTTTTCCACATGAGGATTTTGATAACTTTGATGAAATAAATCAACAACAAAATATATATTAATTCATACAAAATATTTTGAATGTTGGAAATCAGTGTGTGATTGTGTTTCTCATATGTTATAGCCACCAATAATCTAAGCATTTTGAATAATTCACCGTTCTTGGTTGTATAAATGTCATGATACTGGATGTAGAAAATCATAAACATTGATATCAAGATAACAATAATGTGGGAAGAAATGTCCAATAATGTTAGCTTAGCTTGAATAACAAAGAAAAATGAAAGAGAAGAATGAAGGGGCTTATGGGAAGATGAGAGATATAATAATGCACCCAGAAAGAGGATAAGAAGAAGAAAGGAAAACAATATTTCATTCAATAATCTAGTTCAAGCTTTAATAACAATATTAGAATCCTGTATATAGGCTAAGAAAAATACTAATTGCCTGAACTCCTTAGACTTTAAAGGAAGAAAATCATGCATCCCTATTACACAACTATAAAACATTTGAAATGAAATCATATTTATAAATTAAATGGACAAATCTTACTAACCTGATATAGAAAGAAATCAAATGACCATATGCCCTACATCAATTATCTTTGATCTCCATAGCAAATTCTTTCTTTTAGGATCATAATTTATTTTAAAAAATATATAACTAGTTTTAAATATTGTCATATACTTTTTTTTGGAAAATTATAACTTAAAACAATTAAAAAAATGTAATTCCTACTCCTAGATCTGAAATTTTATCACATTTTTTAATAAAAATGTGATAAATTTGTGACTAAAAAGTTGATTTAAATCATGATTTTTAAAATAGATGTGCCTAAAGTGATATATCAGTCATAAAAAAGTGATTCTTACTTAAATTTTATTATGGACATGTGAACTAAGGTTTTCTACAGTATTATATATGTTTGAAACTATTCATAAAGTAGTTTCAATAGAGAATGTGTTTGATAATATTCAAAAAGTAGTTTCCAAGCACATGCACACATATTTACTGCAAACAATCTATATATAAATATTTCTAAATAGGATACATTCAGTACATTTGATTCATTTGAAAAGCTAAACAGAAACTCTTTCAACATAAATGCCCCACCTTCCAAACGCCCCTTGCAATGAAGTTATGAAATTATGAAAACAAATCATAGATCTGAACCAGGAATTTGTTCTATATACTAGAAATAGCTTATCTGTTTTCTAGGCCCTTTCATTCCCATTCTACTTCTGACAAAATGTCCAGTTTAAGATAGACCATGGTCAGTTTGCAAAGGAAGGAAGAATGATATCATCTCTTTAAAGGAATCTCTTCATTCTTCCTATCAGAAAGCAAGAAACGGAAATATAGAACTAGATACTTTCAGCTTTTGTTTTTTCTTCGAGTAATGAATTATTGACAACCACCACACCTTCAAATGCAGAAGGCAATATCTTCCTAGAACTTCCCCCAGTAGTTAGTCAATAATCCTTTTATAGATATTTATTTTTAGAAAAATATAAAGTTTTTTTTTCTTTAAATTTTATGAAATAAGAGGAGGTGTATTAAAAATTTAAAATTTAGAAGTCTCAAAGTTAATTTTGAGTAGTATATTTTCAAAAAAAGTTTTTTCAACGGCTTCCATATTTTGGGCTGAAGAAAGGGAGCCGAACAAGGTCACATCCATCCATCAATTCACAGCTAAGAGAGGTGCATCATAATTAATCTTCTTAAATAATTGCGCGAGAAAGAAGCAAGAAATGCCGGAATAGAACAAGTTTTAAAAAATGGAAGGCCTTCTTTCCACTGCATCTTGGTTTCTGTGAGCAAAAATTGCCATGCATGGCCGAACCCGAACGAATTGAACGCAGATATTCGAATCCCAAGAAGCACAGAGCTCATGAAGGGAAAGACAACGGAAGCAATGATATAATAGAAAAGTAATTACCAGGCCATTGATTTGTTAGATTCTACCACTTCAGAGCTGTTGCATTACTGTCTCGGGTGGTGGGGGAAGAACTGGGTTCCTGCCATGAAGGCACTGAGAGCAGTCGGGTAGAGAGAGGAAGGGTCAGGTAGCGAACCAGCGGTGGTCGCCATGACCGAGGTGGTGGTAGTTGCCGTGCATTCAATGCCGGCAACAGCGGGGGCGGTGGAAGAGGAATCGCCGCGGTGGTGCAGTTGGTACTGCGCCGTCGAAGACTCCGGGCCTTGATCGTACAGTATGCCTTTGAAGACGTGGCCTCCTATGGTTACTGCCGTTTGGTACGCGAACTGGTCCTCCACCTCCTCGACGGGGCTCACCCGCACGCACCTGAACACCGCCGGCGAGCTCAACTCCGCCGGAAAGCTAAGCATTCCCTCCGTTCCACCACCTACATAGACGAAAGACTTGGTGGGGTGGGTAAATCACGCAAAGGATTCGGCGAATAGTGGTGCAAATAAGTGAGGTAACTTAGAGGTTCAAGTAAACAGGCCACTATGAAAGAGGTCAAATTATTAGCAAGCTAAAAGATTTCATTAATATTCCGAATACAAACAACAAATCTAATCAAGCATCATCATGTGCTTCAATGAATTTAGATAGGTAGCTCCTATTGTATGAAAAAAAAAATTATATATAATATAATACGATAGAAATTTGAATAATGTTATATTTTTTATTCGAAAATGGAGAACTCTGAATAATAAATGTAGCTTGGTTAAAACACAAAAAATTAATTATGGAACTTAAAAAAGCTATTTGGTAATAGTGAGTACCTGACGTGGTGGTGGTGACGATGGTGGGGGGACGAGTGGAGAGTTCTCTCGGCCTTTTTGGGGCTTCTCCGGCGGAGGCACGGTGGCAGGTGGGTGAGGGGTGCGCCTGTTGTAAGGAGGCGACCTGTTGCTGGCGTTCACGGCGCTTGGCGGCGGGGACCCAAGTGCTTCTGACGTGAGTGGGGCACTGAAAGCCGCGGCTCTTGCAGCAAGTGCGGCACCGCATGTGCACGCAATCCTTCTTTGCTTGGTTGCCGCAGTCTTGGCAACTCATGCCCCCGCCGCCGCCTCTAGTGCCGGTTCGGGCTGGACCTGGTCCGATGGGTTCATCGGCGGAGCCGAAGGCGAGAAGAGCGCCGGATGAGGCAGAGTAGAGCTGTTGCTGTTGATGTCGTTGGTGGATTTGTTGTTGGTGGCGCTGCCATAGCTCGAAGCCTCTCGCGCTGCCTCCGCCGCTGTAAAGGAAGAGGCTTTCGGGGGGAATTCCTTCGTTAACTTCCTCGGCTACTTGGCGTTGCCGGTTACGGCCTCCCGCGGCGCCTAGAGAGAAATCTGCCATTCTCGTCTCCTCTCTTTTGCAAAATCCATAGCAATTCAAAACGAACTAGCTACTCCTTCCCTTTTGCCTCTTCTCCCTTCTTCTTCCCTGTATCAAAACAAGCCAGCACTTCTCTTTGCTAATTAGTAAACTCTTATTTCTCCGCAGAAGTATGGAGGAGAGAGAAATATAGTGAGGAAAGGAAAGTAATCTTTTGTTCTTTTTGCGTTTGTGTTTTTAAAGCTTCTGAGAGGCGGCGTGTTAGCAGCGACAGAGGCAGCGGAGCAGCAGTTGGTGCTGGCTCTTCTTCGGCTTTATCTGCCCCTTTATTTTTCTCGCTTTTTGGTTTCTGCTTCTCTCTCTCTTTCTCTCTCCGCACTTTTTCTCTAGAGCTTGCCTCAGGCCAACAGAGCTCTCGCTTTCCTACGGAGTATATTTAAGAAACAGAATTAGAAGCTCTGCAACGCCGCCATGGATACTGCAACCCTCGCTGCCATAAACTCAATTTCATTTATTAGTTATTACGACCCCTCCCCTTCTCTCTATCTCATAGAAAGGAAGTGCGATCAAAATCCAATGCATACGCGGTCGTACCGATTTTTAACTTCATCTGACGATCTGTAGACGTCCGTTGTAGATCTAACGAGCATAGCGCCGCCACGTGTTGACACTATCCTGCGCTTCTTGCTTGTTCTTATATGTAAAGGTCGAGCTCATGGGAACTTTATTTTATCAGGACGATTGAATTCCGGCCAGATCAAATTTTTTGCACGTACCAGAATAAGCTATCAAATAATTCGATTTCGGACAAATCACGAGCAGGAGCTCTGTTGACTTGAGGCCTGTTTGAGTGTGGCTTCTCCCATTGAAATCTCGATCGAATAGCCGACTCGACAATTGTGGATCCGACTTTTTGGTGATCATATAGTGGACTACATTCAATCTCGTGATAATTTATAATTTATAATTTAATTAAAAATTTTAATTAGTCATCTAACATTGACATTGCTCTACACCTATAAGTTGGTGGTTTATGAACTGTCACAAGAGAGCTCTTTGGGACATCATATCAAACGAACTTTTTAGTATGTCTCTTGTAGGGCAAATTATTGTGTCCGGTGTTCGGATTCGTCCGGACACGAATAAAAACACGCAACGTCATTCAAAAATATCGGGGCCCAGTGTGTGACCGGACGCAATAATTTGCCCTATTGTAGGCTTTGTTTGAGATAACTGTCTTATTGTTTTTCGAAACTATTTTTTAGTATAAAAAGTTTTAATTCAAGAAGTTTTTATATCAGAAACTATTTTAAAAAGCAGTAAAAAAAAATTGTCCCATTTGAGATATCTTTTTTTTTTAATTGTTTTTTAAGGCTTTATTTGGAATAACTTTCTTACTATTTTTTAAAGCATTTTTCTAGTACACAATTTTTTTTAAACTAAGTTTTTTGTACTAAAAAATTGTTTTTGAAAACAGTAAGAAAGTTGTCCCAAGCAAAACCTTAGCCTTTACTTCATCAACTTGATCGGATCATTTTCTCTAAGATCCTCTCAAAAGTCATGTGATCGGATCATTATGATATGCTTCTTATTTTTTGTACTTCATGTGTTGTTCAACATGGTATCAAACACTAGGAAAATCAGGTATTTGCGACGGAAAAATCCGCTGCAAAACAAGTCAAATCTGTCACAAGTTTTATTTTGCGGTGGATTTGTGACCGATTCAAGTCTGACGATAAAAGTCTTGTTGCAAAAGTATTTGCAACGAACAAAATCCATCGCAAACATTTTGCAGCTTATTTACGTCGGAATCTGATTGGGAAAAACGACGAATTCGTTTTAGCAAAACGCCGCAAATTCCGTCACAATTTGCGGTTGTTTTGCTACAAAAAATTTGTCATAGGTTGTGTCAGAAATGGTGGCGGATATTCCACCACAAGTCCATTGCTATTTACAATGGATATGTACGTCACAAAGTATGATACTCTCTCGTTGCAATGGAAATTCCACTGCAAGTCAATCATAAACCTGTAATAAAAATAAAAAAAACCAACTCCAATAATAAGCTATTGAGATTTTCAACAATAACAATCCAAACATTTTAAAAGTAGTATTAAATAATTCTAATATTTCAACAAATAATAATAAAATAAACATAAGAAAAATAATTTTGTGCAATCACATTTCTACTGTTCAAATAAAGAATCATATTCCACAAAATTCTACAATTACAACACTGTTAAAGTATCAATAGTTCTTATACATCAAAAAACCGTAAACAAACAATCTAAGCAAAATTTGTATACTGACACTGCCATACTCGGTTGATGCAGGCACATGCTGATTTCTGCCAAACTCATCTCAATATCTGAAGCTCATTAAATATCTCAATAGTAATGTCCACTTGTGATTTTCCAACATTTTCTACCTCTACTATTAAATTATCCATTTGTTGGGTATATAAACTCTCATGGCTGCTTTCAGGGTAGCTGGAGGTAGAAGAGGAATATCACTCATACACATAGGTCTACGAGCTTTATCCATAAATTCATTCTTTCTGCATTTCGCCTATTGCCTATGATCACTACAGAAAAATAACCCATTACTAACGGATTTTTCTGGCAGAAATTGCTCATTTTACGATAAAATCCACGTAGGAAAATTTTTTTAGACATAAGCTGATTTTTAGAAAAAAATATCCACTAGAAAAATAAAAAATAAAAAATAAAAATAAAAAATATATTTTATGCCCGCCCACGACAGCCCATTACCTGCTTGCCCGGTACCCGCTAAGCCCCGACCTACTACCCGCCCGCCTTGCCCGAGCAGCTCGCACCTGCACTGCCCCCAAACATGCCCCGCTGCCCACGCCCTGTCACGACTGAGATTCGAATCCAACTCCAAATTATTTGAATATCTTATAATAGATTGAGAACAATCTAAAAATAAAGATTAAGGAGTTTAAAATTTATTGATAAAAAATATTTTAAACCATAGAAATCTATATATTCTAGTAATAATATTCCAAGACAATTTTAGAATATTCTAGTTAGATTTCATAAATTTTTAAGAGCCTATGAATTTTCATTTTATATTTTTGTAATTTTAGAGAAGCCAATCAAAAAGCTTGGATGAGGACAACAAAAGAGATGCCCATATCTGAGAGAACTCACAACATTTGATGCAAAACAAAGCAATAAATTGGAGGCATATCAGGGCAAATCCTTCTAGGATTGGGCACTTATGATTAGGCAGAAATGGATTTAGGTGGATCATAGGAGGTTGGCTTGTTGGCAACAAGATGGAGGTGAATATGGCTTGATCTCAAAGAGAGAAACTTTGTGACAATAAGATGAAGGTAAATTAAGAGATTTTAAAAGAGAAAAACTGGAAAAAAAAAAAAGATGAAGGTAAACTAAGTCTAAAGAGAGATCAAAGGTGAGTACATGCTAATAGGGTCATTGGAGTCTTTCCACTACAGGAAAAACGTCAAAAACTGGCGGTTTTTTCTGGCGGTTAGGAAGGCAAAACTGGCAGTTTTAAATTTTACCGGTAGTTTCTCGGCGGTTTTTACGCCACCGGTATAATTGGCGTAGGAAACTTTTACCGGCGGCTTAGTACCGGCGGTTCTGTTAGGCGGCGGTTTTCCGACGGCGTATACCGTCGGTGACTACCGGATTTGTAACCGGCGGTTTTCCGGCCGTTGAGCCGCCGGCTATATTACCGACAGCTAACCGACGATCACTTTACCGACGGTATGACGGCGGTTAAAGAGGCCGTCGTGTGTTTGCTTAATCGCTGGTTATTTTACCGACGGCGCCCGGCGGTCAAGGCCGACGGTATTACCGGCGGCATACACCGCCGGGCTTTCACCGGATAACCGCCGATAGCCGTTGGTAATCGCCGGTATAGTACCGGCGGTTTAAGGGAATTACTGGCAGCATTGCTTAAGCCGTCCGGTATCGTAGTTACCGGCGACCAAAACGCCGGTTGGCCGCCGGAAACCTGTAGCACCTGAAAAAAAAAATTGACAGCATTCCCTCTATTTGAGGGAGGTTCACCCTAAATTCTAAACCTGTAGAAATAGCAATACATAATAAGATATTTTGGGCAACACGCCGCTATATTCATCACAATTATATACATAACTACAAATTAAATAAACAAGTTTACAATCAAATATTAAGAAGTTCTAAATAAGTTCATCAAACATAAAACAAGTTCACCAAGTTTTAAATTTAATAAGGTTACAATCACAAGTTCTAAATACAATCATCAAACATAAAAAAGATCTAATGTCATCAGCTGTATCCTCACTGTCTGGTACAAGCCGGCGGCCACACAGCCGGATGAACCGCCGGTAATACAGGCGGTCCTTTAACCGCTGGTCATAACCGCCGGTAAGCGGCGTTTTTCCTGTAGTGTTCGCAAGTAAAGGTAATGAGGTAGTGAGGGCTAACAAAGTAGGCACTATAAAAAAAATGCCTATATGAGCTCGGATCAATCATGCCAATGGCTATATGCAAAAGAAAATGGTGTTAAAATATTTCATGGGATGACCATCACAATGTGTTGTATGTGCCATGGCCTAGAGGAGAGAAGGGTCAACTAATAAAAAATATATAAAATGAGATCTGTTGTTAACATTAGTCATGATAGGGAAATTATGTAATTTTTTTTATCACACAAGCACTCTTAGGCTTCATTTGAGACAGCTTTTTTTCTGCTTCTTAAAGCAGCTTTTTGGTATAATAATTAAAATTTTGGTATTAAAAAGCTGCTTTAAAAAGCAGAATGAAAGCCTTCCCAAATAAAGCCTTAGTTTGTTCATAGAGATATAAAGTGATTTATAAAAGTTAATGGCATTATAATATAGTTTCAAATGTGTATATGTTGCATACAAAAGACCCCTGGCCTCAAATATAAGGGAAAATTCTATAATATGGTGGTAAAATCTGTAACGCTTTATGGTGCTGAATGTTGGCCATTTAAAAGAGAAGTTTAACACTAAGTTAAGTGTT